AGTACGCGTGGCCTCTGTCAGATGCTGCTCCGCCTCAGTGATCACCACCGGCGCACTCAGCTCCCGTTCGGCTGCTACGCCGGAGAACATCAGCTGCAACCTGCAATGCAACACGGGCCGGACGGCAGCGCGGCATGAGCGCTGCTAGGACGGACTAAGCCTGATGAGATACATATGCGGGTATGGAGAATAGAAGCAATACGGAGTTGTACGCGATTTGTTTTGGTAACGAGAGGAGAATTTATTGGCGCCATAGGATGGGAGGACGGGAGCACGGAGGTGGGAGCAGGCAAGCCCCAAGTTTGTCGGCCGTCAATCAGGCAGCACCGACAGATCGAGCCCAACACGTTGGTGAAGCCGACTAGCCTAGGCTCACCGGCATGGAAGAGAACATCAATTTCTAGACTGGCGGCCAGGACCTGACCACTGCCACCGGCATTGAGACGCTGGTGCGCGCCGGGAAGTAGTACAACTCACAGTGGTAGTGGTACGTCATCATACGTACTCCAGGCAAGCAAATCTAATCGCTCATCTCTATGTAGTAGCCTACCCTAAGCCGACTCATACTCGCCAATGTCAAATAGACATGCCATGCCATGCCCATACGTGCAGTAGGTACTAAATGGATTAACCGGGGACGCGGAGGAGCTACAACTTGAGCAGCATCGTGATTATTTCTGGGTTTGGCCGCGCCACCACACAGTCCCCTCCACCGGAAAGGCCTCTCACGCCCCATTCTAGGGCAGGAGGAAGATCACGAGCACGACGAGGACGGCGGACGCTGTGACATAGTCCCCTCCATCGACCCCCTGCTTGAGTACGCGCGGCCTCCGTCAGACGCTGCTCCGCCTCAGTGACCACCACCGGCGCACTCAGCTCCCCGTTCTGCTGCTACGCCGGAGAACATCAGCTGCAACCTGCAATGCAACACGGGCTGGACGGCAGCACGGCATGAGCGCGGCTAGGATGGACTGAGCCTGATGAGATACGTATGCGGGTATGGAGAACAGAAGCAATACGGAGTTGTACGCGATTTGTTTTGGCAACGAGAGGAGAATTTATTGGCGCCGTAGGATGGAAAGAGGGGAGCACGGAGGCAGGAGCAGGCAAGCCCCAAGTTCGTCGGCCGTCAATCAGGCTGCACCGACAGATCGAGCCCAACGCATTGGTGAAGCTGACTAGCCTCGGCTCACCGGCATGGAAGAGAACATCAATTTCTAGACTGGCGGCCAGGACCCGACCACTGCCACCGGCATTGAGACGCTGGTGCGCGCCGGGAAGTAGTACAACTCACGGTGGTAGTGGTACGCCATCATACGTTCTCCAGGCAAGCAAATCTATTCGCTCATCTCTATGTAGTAGCCTACTCTAAGCCGATTCCTACTCGCCAATGTCAAATAGACATGCCATGCCCATCCGTGCAGTAGCTACTAAATGGATTAACCAGGGACGCGGAGGAGCTCCGACTTGAGCAGCATCGTGATTATTTCCGGGTTTTGCCGCGCCGCCGCACAGTCCCCTCCACCGGAAAGGCCTCTCACGCCCCATGCTAGGGCAGGAGAAAGATCACGAGCGCGACGAGGACGGCAGACGCCGTGACACAGTCCCCTCCATCGACCCCCTGCTTGAGTACGCGCGGCCTCCGTCAGATGCTGCTCCGCCTCAGTGACCACCACCGGTGCACTCAGCTCCCCGTTCTGCTGCTACGCCGGAGAACATCAGCTGCAACCTGCAATGCAACACTGGCCGGACGGCAGCGCGGCATGAGCGCTGCTAGGACGGACTGAGCTGATGAGATACGTATGCGGGTATGGAGAACAGAAGGAATGCAGAGTTGTACGCGATTTGTTTTGGCAACGAGAGGAGAATTTATTGGCGCCGTAGGATGGGAGGACGGGAGCACGGAGGCGGGAGCAGGCAAGCCCCAAGTTCGTCGGCCGTCAATCAGGCGGCACCGACTGATCGAGCCCAACGCGTTGGTGAAGCCGACTAGCCTCGGCTCACCGGCATGGAAGAGAACATCAATTTCTAGACTAGCGGCCAGGACCCGACCACTGCCACCGGCATTGAGACGCTGGTGCGCGCCGGGAAGTAGTACAACTCACGGTGGTAGTGGTACGCCATCATACGTACTCCAGGCAAGCAAATCTATTCGCTCATCTCTATGTAGTAGCCTACCATAAGCCGATTCATACTCGCCAATGTCAAATAGACATGCCATGCCATGCCCATACGTGCAGTAGGTACTAAATGGATTAACCGAGGACGCGGAGGAGCTACGACTTGAGCAGCATCGTGATTATTTCCGGGTTTTGCCGCGCCGCCGCACAGTCCCCTCCACCGGAAAGGCCTCTCACGCCCCATGCTAGGGCAGGAGAAAGATCACGAGCGCGACGAGGACGGCGGACGCCGTGACACAGTCCCCTCCATCGACCCCCTGCTTGAGTACGCGCGGCCTCCGTCAGACGCTGCTCCGCCTCAGTGACCACCACCGGTGCACTCAGCTCCCCGTTCTACTGCTACGCCGGAGAACATCAGCTGCAACCTGCAATGCAACACGGGCCGGACGGCAGCGCGGCATGAGCGCTGCTAGCACGGACTGAGCTGATGAGATACGTATGCGGGTATGGAGAACAGAAGGAATACAGAGTTGTACGCGATTTGTTTTGGCAACGAGAGGAGAATTTATTGGCGCCGTAGGATGGGAGGATGGGAGCACGGAGGCGGGAGCAGGCAAGCCCCAAGTTCGTCAGTCGTCAATCAGGCGGCACCGACTGATCGAGCCCAACGCGTTGGTGAAGCCGACTAGCCTCGGCTCACCGGCATGGAAGAGAACATCAATTTCTAGACTAGCGGCCAGGACCCAACCACTGCCACCGGCATTGAGACGCTGGTGCGCGCCGGGAAGTAGTACAACTCACGGTGGTAGTGGTACGCCATCATACGTACTCCAGGCAAGCAAATCTATTCGCTCATCTCTATGTAGTAGCCTACCCTAAGTCGATTCATACTTACCAATGTCAAATAGACATGCCATGCCATGCCCATACGTGCAGTAGGTACTAAATGGATTAACCGGGGACGCGGAGGAGCTACGACTTGAGCAGCATCGTGATTATTTCCGGGTTTTGCCGCGCCGCCGCACAGTCCCCTCCACTGGAAAGGCCTCTCACGCCCCATGCTAGGGCAGGAGAAAGATCACGAGCGTGACGAGGACGGCGGACGCCGTGACACAGTCCCCTCCATCGCCCCCCTGCTTGAGTACGCGCGGCCTCCGTCAGACGCTGCTCCGCCTCAGTGACCACCACCGGTGCACTTAGCTCCCCGTTCTGCTGCTACGCCGGAGAACATCAGCTGCAACCTGCAATGCAACACGGGCCGGACGGCAGCGCGGCATAAGCGCTGCTAGGACGGACTGAGCTGATGTGATACGTATGCGGGTATGTAGAACAGAAGGAATACAGAGTTGTACGCGATTTGTTTTGGCAACGAGAGGAGAATTTATTGGCGCCGTAGGATGGGAGGACGGGAGCACGGAGGCGGGAGCAGGCGTCGGCCGTCAATCAGGCGGCACCGACTGATCGAGCCCAACGCGTTGGTGAAGCCGACTAGCCTCGGCTCACCGGCATGGAAGAGAACATCAATTTCTAGACTGGCGGCCAGGACCCGACCACTGCCACCGGCATTGAGACGCTGGTGCGCGCCGGGAAATAGTACAACTCACGGTGGTAGTGGTACGCCATCATACGTACTCCAGGCAAGCAAATCTAATCGCTCATCTCTATGTAGTAGCCTACCCTAAGCCGATTCATACTCGCCAATGTCAAATAGACATGCCATGCCATGCTCATACGTGCAGTAGGTACGGGGACGCGGATGAGCTACAACTTGAGCAACATTGTGATTATTTCCGGGTTTTGCCGCGCCGCCGCACTGTCCCCTCCACCGGAAAGGCCTCTCACGCCCCATGCTAGGGCAGGAGAAAGATCATGAGCGCGACGAGGACGGCGGACGCCGTGACACAGTCCCCTCCGTCAACCCCTTGCTTGAGTACGCGCGGCCTCCGTCAGATGCTGCTCCGCCTCAGTGACCACCAGAGAACATCAGCTCCCCGTTCTACTGCTACGCCGGAGAACATCAGCTGCAACCTGCAATGCAACACGGGCCGGGCGACAGCGCGGCATGAGCGCTGCTAGGACGGTCTGAGCCTGATGATACACCTAACCCGCTGTCGGAAAGCTCCTTCCTGTCGGAAAGCGACCGCGCATTAGCCTCAGTGTTTCCACTAAATAATTGCCTTATTATACTCCCTCCGTCCAGAAATACTTGTTGGAATCAAATAAAATTGACCTTCTCAAATCACTCTCTCCCATACTGATCATCATTGCAGTTCCTTGTCCAGTAAGTATGGAGCAACGGGAGCAGCGCCCTGTCACGATGAAGTGAGGAAGAAGGCGATCGGGCTGAGCTGACCTCGGCTGATACCAAATGGGGCAGGAGCACCCACTGTCCACATAAAAATAAAGGATGTATATGGGCGATCTATTTGACAAAACATGGGTTCAAATGGCTATATCAACAAATTAGCATATGAAAGTTCCAGTGGCATTTCTCGATTTGGCAAAAATTGCAGTGGCATTTATTGAATAAACCCAAATTTACCCAAAGAAATAGATAGATCAGGTACGCATTGCACATTACTTGATACTCAAACAGAGAATACTTTCTCGTCCACTAGAGAGAAAAATGAACCGTCAGCCAAATAAATAAAACTCACATAGTTACAGTTTCTGGCGACTGTTATGTACATTCATTCAATTATGAGTAGCGGGTTTTGGGAAGTCGCTCCTTACAGAATGAATATTATGCAGCTTAACGTATTGATAGCCTGTGGTTTTGATGCAACTAGTGTGTAACAAACCAAACGATCACAAAGAAAATACCAAAATAAAGGAGAATTCCTGATGGAGCCCCGAAGTACATGTGCATAATAGTGCTTTTTATATGTGAAGATCGTCCAGTGTTAGCTCTTCGGCGGACATCATCTTCAGTTTCTGCAAACAATATACTTGATCAAACCTGCTAGGCCATTGCATATTCAACACGAGATAAACAACAATAGAAACTACTTACTGTGATGAACTGGGGTGGATCATCAAGGCTGGACGAACCAAGGATGACCTCACGCTTCAGCTTCGATGAAAGCTTGTGTGCAGCGCGTAACTGGAAAAGGCATATTATTGGTTACAGCATGCATATTAGTATGGCCTTAGTGAACTGTGGGTGTTCAACATACTGAACAAACCTCTGATCGAGTAGCACCACCAATGACAAAAACAAATATACGCTGGCCATGCTTTTGGAAATCACTCGATGCATGCTTCAATACAGAATCACTGCAAAGAAATGTCAAGTCCGCAATGCATGCTGATAATTACATACAACATTACCTGCTACTTTCAAACAGGATTTTAATTGTCAAAAACTGAAAAGCATATAAATCAAAATGTATATGTTCACTGGCTAGAAGAACCTAAGGGCCATATATTTACTAGCACAAGGATTTAAGTCCGACTTTTGGAAGTACAGGGACGTAGTCACCTCGATACTCCCTTTATGGAGGTAAAAAATCTGGTTACAGGCGAAGTTTCGTCCCATAACTGTATGTTGTTTAGGTAGAAATGAGGCACTATTTCAGACACCTTACTAGTTGCATGTGAATTTTTCACAATGGCAGACAATATTTAGTGATATCAATGCCCAAGAGGCATCTTTAAACTCTACAGCCGGTGCAGATAGATAAAGAGAACTCCTGGCTATTCACGGCAACATAAACAGTGGCCCATACATGGAGAAAACCACAGGTATCATTGTTCTAGATAATTCTGGAAATACTGTACTGGGCAGTATCCACCACTGACCTTGAATAACCATCATCAGAACCACGAGGCCTAGCCCATGATCCACCAGTCCTCCTAGATCTCATCGAGTGAGCTGGGCTTGTGTGGACTGAGGTACTGGTAGTGGTAGGTACAACATGGAAACTGGGACTAGGGTCGTTCATGCAGTTATATTCATCTTTTGGTAATTCACCCTTGCTGAGCTGCTCAATCAATTCCTGAACAAAAGGAATGTTATTTTACATGCCAAAAAATGGAAACAAAACTGCATAAAGTAGACATACAATGTGTGCGCGAAGGGCTATAGAGATGAACCCAACAAAATTCATAAAATAGCTGAGATTTGTAAAATAAGTCCAGTAAGAACAAACTGGGGGTGTGGCTTTATATTAGATATTCTGAACTCAATGGAGCAAACACTTTTTTGGAATTCCATCAAACACAACTGAAAAGAATCTTAATTTGCAGTGATTTCTCAGTAAATCAGGTTTCAGATTGTTTGGATTATTGAGTTGATCCTTCACACTGTGCTAAAATGGCTATCACATGTCAATGCTGTTGCAGAGTGTTAGAGGAGCAACTTGGATGTATTGCATAGCCCAAGGGGCAAATATATATTACAATGAACTTGGAGTACAAGGAAGGAAATCTAAACTAATGCAACTACATAACGGACACCTAGACCAATATTAATACCTCTTAACACCCCCCCTCAAATGCAAACCGTGTCCAAAAGCATTGCATTTGAAGAAGTGTAACACTACAGAAAATGGAGATCCAAAATCCACGTCTTGAGAGTGTCATGGTAGCATGGAATCTTGAAAAACCTGTTGAGTCAAGCAAAAGAGGGATAGAAGAAGAATGTTGCAAAGATCATTGCACAAGCAATGCAAAAGGAGGTGATGCGGAGCATCCTACGGTCATCCCATGTACAGTTCAACTACTCCCCAAGCCCCAAGTGGACCTACAACAAGAGCTCGAGCATGTGCCATTGGACATAAGGTGAACTCACTCCTAAGTGCTTCCCCTTTCCATTCAAGCGAAACATGGTTGCTACCTAAGACAAAGACACTATGTGTGCATATGAACCAAGGGCACGACCATGGAGGAGCTCAGAGCATAGGACAAGCCACCACGGATATGTAACAAGAAGTGCCTCAAGTGGAGTCACCACGAAGCTACATCGGCCGGACATACGGCCGAAGCCCGGATATCCGGCGCCACCGAACAGTGGAAGACCAGAACAAACGGGCGCCAGCCGACTCTACAGCGGCCGGATCCGGCCGACACCCCGGACATCCGGTGTCCACCGAACCGCCGGGCATCCGGCACCGCCCCTGAAATCCGGCCAGAGGAGTCCATAAGCTACGAAGATGGGCCACCACCCGGCCAAACATCCGGCCCAGCCTTGGACATCCCGCGCCCCAAGTCGGGCCGGACATCCGGCGCCTACACAGCCGCGGCCAAAGGGCCATGTAACCTCCCTCTCTCACCCCCCCACTTCGCCTAGACTATAAATAGACCTTCGCCTTCTTCTTGTTAGGGTTAGCAAAGTACTCAGATCTAGAGAGCTTTGCTTATATCTACCGCCTCTCCCATGGAGATCAAGGCCTCCATGTGAGAAGACCCCTAGTAGGTATCAAGACCCCTATCTAGGGAAGATCCATTTTGGATTCAAGATCTCATCTCCCCACGGGATTTGGGATGAACCTCACCATGTATCCTTGTTTCCCTTTGTTGTTCATGTACCTTGTGGATCTTATGTGGATGTGAGTCTAGTGGACGTGTGACTGGAGTTGTTCTTGAGTGTTCCTCTTGTGATTTCTCCACGTTCTTGCTCGTGTTCTTCGTGTTCTTCGAAGTTCCCCCCTCCAATTCATGAAAGATCACTAGCAAGGGCTTGGCCCTATATCAGGAGGCCACGAAAATCCTATAGAAAACAACAATGACCAGAAAGGCCACAAAAGTTGTACAAAAAGGGCCAGAAAAGAGGCCGGCAGATAAAGGTTTGGTGGACTCACATGACATGAGAAACACAGAAGAGCAATGGACTTGCTGGACGCAGTGGAAAATAGAAAGCTAGAAGCTATGAAGCAGACACGAGACAATGATACAGGAGCCATCATGTCTGCAGGAGAGGCTGCGGAGGAGGGAGAGCAGCGGAGAACTGCAACTAGCGGATGAGCCCCAACACCGACAGAAGGTGTATGTGCGAGACGGTGCCGGTGAAACGACCACCGCTCAAAAAGCCATCGGACTGGTCTGGCATATGAAGACCAGCAGCGGGCGACGGGAAGCCGGCTGCGGAGGCGGGAATGATCGGACGAAGGCAACGACTGGCGAGCAACTGGCTCTCGGAGGAGAGCATGTGCAGACAGCACAACAGGCGAGGAGCGTGTGCAATGGATGGCCACACGCGGAGAGTGCCACCAGCGACGAGAGCGAGCGATGGAAGTCCACACATGGAGAACGCCACCGGACAGCAAGAGAGATACTATGCCCGATGACGGCAACATATTTTTTTTAATTGAGTAAGCAAATCTACCCTGGGACAAGCACCCGCACAGAGTACCTAGCAATGTGAGCAGCTGTTGAGGAAAGCAAGATGCAGGGCAGCAGGCAGCAAAGCAAGCTAGAAGGCGGAGAGCAACACGTGGGGCAACAGGAAGCCAAGCAAGCAAGGCACTTGCAGCAATACAGAGAGCCAGGCATGGGGCACCAGGTGAGCAGGCCTGCAGATGTGGGCGGCCGGAGGTACAGCACAACCAGGATGTTAGGCCCCGACTAATTGAAACTAAGAACAGCGCTATTTCTCATAAATGAAATGAAAAGTAGCAGAGTTTGAGGGAGAGAAGCTACGGTTTGCACCGCCACCAGATACTCGTATTAGGCCCAGCCGGAAAACGGAGGCTAGGGTTTCAACCAATTTACATAGAGATGCCCTCTTCCATAAGGAGAGAAAAGCAGAAAAGTACAAAGGGAGCAGGTGAGCACTGCCAGAAAGTGAACAGCGACCTTTGAGTGAATAACGACTGTCTGATCGCAGATGCACTCTTCCATAAGGATCCGAGGCTTTATAGCCATTACAACTTAAGAGAGGAAAGCAGAAAACTAGAAAGGAAGCAGGTGGGCTTTGCCGGAAAGTGAACCACAACCCTTGAGTGAATAAGGACCGTCCAGTCGCAGAACAAGTCGGCTACGAGCTCTTCTTGGCGCAAAGCGGTAAGTACCGAGGTCCATTGGATTGGCGATGCACAGCTGTCTCTGAATCTCCAGCGAATCAGTACAACGCAACAGTTAACTGAATGTGAACGAGTGTCTCATTCTTCAGGTTAGGGCCCGATAAGGCCCTAGTGGCGAGATCAGACTTGTCCAAAGGATGAAATGCAGGGAAAATTTTCTGTGTGAAGGTAGAGTCCTCCCAGGCAGCCATGTCTGCTGACATATTCTTCCATTTGATTAGAGACAGCACCACAGGAATGCTGATGTTCCCACGTATTCTGGGAATTAATTTTCTGTCCAGCAATTCTTCAGGTTCAGTGAGCATTGTGCCATCAGGGTTTAGCAGTGGAAGAGTAGCATTAGGTACTGCTTTAGGACCAAGGTGCTTTTTCAGTTGACTGAC